TAATAAAACAATGCCTTTTGCAGCAACATGGATGGACCTGGAGAATGTCATTCTAAGTGAAGTAAGCCAGAAAGAGAAAGAAAAATACCATATGATATCACTTATACATGGAATCTAAAAAGAAAAAAAAACACAAACTTATTTACAAAACAAAAACCGAATCACAGACATAGAAAACAAACTTATGGTTACCCGGGGTGGGAATGAGGTGGCACGGGATAAATTGGGAGATCGAGATTTGCAGATACCAACTACTGTATATAAAATAGATAAATAAGTTTCTACTGTATAGCACGTGGAACTATATTCAGTATCTCATGGTAACTTATGGTGAAAAAGAATATAAAAACAAGTATTTATGTTCATGTATGACTGAAGCATTGTGCTGTACACCAGAAATGGACACAACACTGTAAACTGACTATACTTCAATATATATAGACACAAAAAAGTATACAGTGCTTTTTAAAAAAACAGAAAAAAATCCTTATTTCAAAAGAAATCATGTTAATTCCTTTACAGTCTCTGAATGAATATACAAGAGATGCAAAACACAGGGCAAGGACTGGTATTTTTCTTTTAAACTTTTGCCTACTTTTCCCCTTTTAAAGTAGGCACAACGCTCTACTACCGTATTTTCAGAAACCCTCAATGTTATGTGGCTTTCTAGTGAGGCTCCCTAAAATTAGGTCTGTGCCAATAAGAATTTTTCTACGGCAAAATGGGAAAAATTATTACCCATTAGGAGAAACAAAAAAGTAAACTTAGATGATTACAGGAAGCTGAAGAAGTTCTCATACTTGACACAGAAGAGCAGTGGGAGAAATAAACTGAAAAAGTTACAAGCAGAAGGGAGTTAGAGCATAGCCTTACTGTCTCACAATTGCAGTAACAATTATATTGTTCAGAGTGAGAAAGAACCTCAGGTAAGTTCTTAGATAAGGACTTGAAGCCCTACAGATGCAGGACCTTAAGGGAGCCTTTTCTTCCACAGGATTCTTTCCATCGCACCATTGCCCTTCTCCATGTTGAGCTGCCTTTATCTGCCCACGTTCCCCTGGGCTCACGACATCTCAGGTAAAAAGCCCAGGCACAGGCAGCATGAAGAGCCAGCACCCACCCGCCCAGGTGCTTTTGACTTTATTCTTATGTAACTGGGGATGTGAACTATTTGGCTACTGTAAGCCTCTCGTTTTAGCAGGGTTCCACGTTCACAATCACGTCCTTGGCAGTAGAGTCTACTGGCATCTTTGTTGTCCTCCTTAGGGCAGTAGTTCCGACTGCTGGTGATCATCCAAAATTTCGGGAAAGTTTTTTAAAACGTTCCGATTCTTGGGGTCTGCCCCTGGAACTCTCAGACAGGGGTGAGGGTAGTAAGGAGAGGCAGATACAGAAATCCATACTTCTCTTCCAGTATCCCAGAAAGAGCTCGCTACCACTAGTTTGGGACTGCTCTGCTATCACGATCTCAGAGCATCAGTGTTTAAGCAAATGCACAGTGGGGGACTGGAGATGAAGAAGGACACGGGGAGGGATGAACACAAGGTAGACACTGCTCCCGGGGAAAGACAGGACTGCCTTCATCTGTCCACACAGGAGGTGCTGTGACTGAGGCACACAGGGAAGGCTCTTTTGCCCTAAATTATCTCACTAAAAAGAGTAAAATACCTCAAATGCCACCATTATGATTCCATTCCTTCCTTAATTTTGTGTTGCTTGTTAAAATAGGAATATCTCTTGGTATTCAACTGTTAGTTTCACTGGTGCAGCTAAAATTCATTTGCTTCTTTTCAATAGGCCCCTGCTCTGGAGCAGAAGGAAGGGAGTGTCCCCAAAAAGGCCACAACTCAATATGGTGGATTTTGCAACTTGCCTCAGGCCAGCCTTAGGGCCACATCTCTGGAGCTGCTCGGTGCCTGGGAT